CAAAACTGTAGTTTGTTAAAAATAAATTTGTGGAGTGGTTGAAAAACACGTTTTAATGACTCCAACCTAAGTGTATGTAAACGTCCGACTTAAACTGTAGCTATGAGTTCACCTTTCATCTAATCATTTGCTTATTGAATACTTTGGCAAATTTGGAACAATTGTGCTAGAATTATCTGGTGTGTATTTAAAAATATATATTTCTGGGAATCAAGAGTATGGAGTTTGAATGGAAATATGGAATAAATGCTGTGAGACACGGACACAGCTCAACTTCAGGGTGCTCCCAAGGTATGAAAACGTTTGACAAAGTTTCATGAGTGAAATAGGGGTGAAACAAAGGTATTTGGAAAGAAAAAAAGTACTATTTGAACCCAGATCTGGATTGATAGTATAGTCTATGTGATGAGATGTGAGGTAGACATGGGGGACTTCAGAGAGAGGATAAAGGTGTGGTCAGTGAGTTGACAGTCTGCCAGTTCAGGATATTTCCCCTAGGCTAGAGGGTATGTCTGTCTGTATAATAGCACTAACAGATGGGGCTGACTCTGACATCCTAACATCAACAGGAAACAGTGGCCTGTTCTCCTCAGGGATATGACATCAACAGGAAAGTCCCTGTTTCACTCTAGCCATTGTCTTGTGATACCACACAGGCTCTCTGTCTGCCATGACTCTGAGCTTCACTCTTGCACCACTGTTCTCACCCATGTTGGTATACAAAGTATGTGGGATGTCTAAGACAATGTGCATGTTGACTATCTGGGACAGAGATTCAGAGTCAGTGCTAGAGCACTCTGAGTCAGTGTGTTACTGCCAGTAGTGAAACGGGTGTTATGTGTCGGTCTGTCAAGGTTAGAGTCATTGTATGTGCCTCAGCAGTCACTCAATCCCTGAGCTAGCCTGCCATCAAGTATCACCTATAAAACATTGATAGGCCGATGATCTGACTCTGACCAGAGGTTTCAGGGAAGTTACTACATGGTCATGCAGGAATGGATAATCGTTGCAATATCATCAGGACCTGATGAGCAAGTCAGATTGTATCTTAATTTAGGGTATAAGATTAATGGGTGGGGCAAAGATTATTGATTAATAAACTAATTGTTGGTCAGTCATTTTCACCACCCTTTTGAGCTTAAGCTGTCTGCCTGAAGTACTCAGCTCTGTTCCCTCTAAAGGAACATTTGCTGAACATATGCACATTATGGTGGTGGAGGTGGTAATGAATTAAAACAGGATGTTAAAACGGGATGTTCGCACGGCAGGTTAATTGTGCTGATACTAGCAGAGTGACCATTTTTGCTCCAGCACCAAGCCCTCACCAGCGCTTTTATTGCAACTGTATTTTCCAGGACATGAATTCTGTGGATTTTTAATAAAAGTGGAAACCGGAGAGTATACTGTTGATATATATGACCTAAATGAAGGCTGCTTTGTAATGAGTGGTCGTAAATAGGTTCTATATATGACAGGGGACGACTGTAGCCATTTTGGCTGAGCTATAACATTGACATAAATATGGTTGGATTTTGGAAACTTTTACTCACACATTTTATAATGACCTGACATCTAATCCCGTCTGAGATTGTAGATTTAAGAATTTTAGCATGTCCAGTTAGTGTAGTGGCTTATGTTTTTATTTTTTATTTTATTTTAACCTTTATTTAACTAGGCAAGTCAGTTAAGAACACATTCTTATTTACAATGGCGGCCTACCAAAAGGCAAAAGGCCTCCTGCGGGGATGGGGGCTGGGATAAAAAAGAAAACATTAAAATATAGGGGGACAAAACACACATCACGACAAGAGAGACACCACAACACTACATAAAGAGAGACCTAAGACAACAACATAGCATGGCAGCAACACATGACAACACAGCATGGTAGCAACACAACATGACAACAACATGGTAGCAACACAACATGGCAGCAGCACAACATGGTAGCAGCACAAAACATGGTACAAACATTATTCGGCACATACAACAGCACAAAGGGCAAGAAGCTAGAGACAAAAATAAAACATGGATTACCACAGAAAACACTGCTACTCTACTGCTCTTTCCTCGTCTGATCATGTGTTCTCGCATACACCGAGAGCATCTGGTCAGCGTGGCGGTGGCACAGGAATCCTCATCTCTCCCAAGTGGACATTCTCTCTTTTCCCCCTGACCCATCTGTCTATCTCCTCATTTGAATTCCATGCTGTCACAGTCACTAGCCCATTCAAGCTTAACATCCTTATCATTTATCACCCTCCAGGTTCTCTTGGAGAGTTCATCAATGAGCTTGACGCCTTGATAAGTTCCTTTCCCGAGGATGGCTCACCCCTCACAGTTCTGGGTGACTTTAACCTCCCTACGTCTGTCTTTGACTCATTTCTCTCTGCCTCCTTCGTTCCACTCCTTTCCTCTTTTGACCTCACCCTCTCACTGTCCCCCCCTACTCACAAGGCAGGCAATACGCTTGACCTCATCTTTACTAGATGCTGTTCTTCTACTAATCTCACTGCAACTCCCCTCCAAGTCTCCGACCACTACTTTGTATCCTTTTCTCTCTCGCTCTCCTCCAACACTACTCACTCTGCCCCTACTCAGATGGTAATGTGCCGTCGCAACCTTCGCTCTCTCTCTCGCCCGCTACTCTCTCCTCTTCCATCCTATCATCTCATCCCTCTGCTAAATCCTTCTCCCTCCGATCTCCGGATTCTGCCTCCTCAACCCTCCTCTCCTCCCTTTCTGCATCTTTTGACTCTCTATGTCCCCTATCCTCCCGGCCGGCTCGGTCCTCCCCTCCTGCTCCGTGGCTTGATGACTCATTGCGAGCTCACAGAACAGGGCTCCGGGCAGCCGAGTGGAAATGGAGGAAAACTAGACTCCCTGCGGACCTGTCATCTTTTCACTCCCTCCTCTCTACATTTTCTCCCTCTGTTTCTGCTGCTAAAGCCACTTTCTCCCACTCTAAATTCCAAGCTTCTGCCTCTAACCCTAGGAAGCTCTTTGCCACCTTCTCCTCCCTGCTGAATCCTCCCCCTCCTCCCCCTCCCTCCTCCCTCTCTGTGGAAAAGAAGGTTGACGACATCCTATCCTAATTTATTAAGTCAAATGACATCGCTGGTCCTGCTCACACTGCCCTACCCTATGCTTTGACTTCTTTCTCCCCTCTCTCTCCAGATGAAATCTTGCGACTTGTGATGGCTGGCCGCCCAACAACCTGCCCGCTTGACCCTATCCCCTCCTCTCTTCTCCAGACCATTTTCGGAGACCTTCTTTCTTACCTCACCTCGCTCATCAACTCATCCTTGACCGCTGGCTATGTCCCTTCTGTCTTCAAGAGAGCAAGAGTTGCACCCCTTCCTCAAAAAACCTACACTCGATCCCTCCGATGTCAACAACTACAGACCAGTATCCCTTCTTTCTTTTCTCTCCAAAACTCTTGAGCGTGCCGTCTCTAGCCAACTCTCCTGCTATCTCTCTCAGAATGACCTTCTTGATCCAAACCAGTCAGGTTTCAAGACTGGTCATTCAACTGAGACTGCTCTTCTCTGTGTCACGGAGGCTCTCCGCACTGCTAAAGCTAACTCTCTCTCCTCTGCTCTTATCTTTCTAGACCTATCTGCTGCCTTTGATAATAAGAACCATCAGATCCTCCTCTCCACCCTCTCCGAGTTGGGCATCTCTGGCGCTGCTCACTCTTGGATTGCGTCCTACCTGACAGGTCGCTCCTACCAGGTGGCGTGGCGAGAATCTGTCTCCGCACCACATGCTCTCACCACTGGTGTCCCCCAGGGCTCAGTTCTAGGCCCCAAGTCACTTGGCTCTGTCATATCCTCTGTCATATCCTCACATGGTCTCTCCTATCATTGCTACGCAGACGACACACAATTCATTTTCTCCTTTCCCCCTTCTGATAACCAGGTGGTGAATCGCATCTCTGCATGTCTGGCGGACATATCAGTGTGGATGTCGGATCACCACCTCAAGCTGAACCTCGGCAAGACGGAGCTGCTCTTCCTCCCGGGGAAGGACTGCCCGCTCCATGATCTCGCCATCACGGTTGACAACTCCATTGTGTCCTCCTCCCAGAGTGCAAGGAACCTTGGCGTGACCCTGGACAACACCCTATCGTTCTCCACTAACATCAAAGTGGTGACCCGATCCTGCAGGTTCATGCTCTACAACATTCACAGTGTACGACCCTACCTTACACAGAAAGCGGCACAGGTCCTAATCCAGGCACTTGTCATCTCCCATTTGGATTACTGCAACTCGCTGTGGGCTGGGCTCCTTGCCTGTGCCATTAAACCCCTACAACTTATCCAGAACACTGCAGCCCGTCTGGTGTTCAACCTTCCCAAGTTCTCTCATGTCACCCCGCTCCTCCGCACACTCCACTGGCTTCCAGTTGAAGCTCGCATCTACTACAAAACCATGGTGCTTGCCTACGGAGCTGTGAGGGGAACGGCACCTCTTTACCTTCAGGCTCTGATCAGTCCCTACACCCAAACGAGGGCACTATGTTCATCCACCTCTGGCCTGCTAGCCCCCCTACCTCTACGGAAGCACAGTTCCCGCTCAGCCCAGTCAAAGCTATTCGCTGCTCTGGCACCCCAATGGTGGAACAAGCTCCCCCAAAACACCAGGACAGTGGAGTCACTGCCACCTTCCAGAGACACTTGAAACCCTACCTCTTTATGGAATAAATGGAATAGTATAACAGTAATCTTTCTACCACCCCCCCCCCCCCCCATAATTTTTTTTGGTCCCACTGGCTATCCTAAGTTGAATGCACCAATTTGTAAGTCGCTCTGGATAAGAGCTTCTACTAAATGACTTAAATGTAAATGTAATGGACATGGGCAGCTGTGAGGAAGAGGGTTTATTCTCCAGGTCTTTAACCGTTTTCCAGAACTTCTTGGGGTTAGACCCACAGAGAGAGAACTGCTCCTTAAAGTAACTAACTTTGGCCTTCCGGATAGCCTGAGTGCACTTATTTCTCATTTGCCTGAACTAGAGCCAGTCAGCCTGAATATGCGTGTGCCGAGCCTTTCGCCAAATGGAATTCTTGAGGTGGAGTAACTCTGCCAGATCACGGTCGAACCAATGGCTGAACTTGTTTTTAATTCACAGGCTGTAAAACAGTGATTGCTAAGGTCTTTACAGAAAACACCAGACTGACACCTATCAGGATTATTTGTGAGGATAACATCAATGAGAGTAGCCATTTAGGGTACAGGCCGGTTCTGATGGTGCACGATAACACCCAGCAACAGTTAACAAAGAGCTATTTGAAAGTTTAATTCTTAAAACCAGCAAATCAAATTGTTTGGGGACAGACTTGGTGGAGACAACCGAGCACTGAAGGTGTTCCTTGGTAAAGATTGCCACTCCACCACCTTTGGAAGATCTGTCTTGCCAAAAAACATTATGACCAGAAAGGTTAACATCAGTGTTCAAAACACTCTTTCTTAACTACGTCTCAGTAATGACCAACACATCTGGATTGGAGCTGTGAACCCACACTTTCAATTGATCAATTTTAGGTAATGAGCTTCTAGCGTTAACGTGTAGAAAACCCAGGCTTTTACGAGAGCAGAAATCAGTGAAGCAGATATCAGAGCACAAGTCAGAATTGGGGCTAGCAACAGTAGATGGGCCAGGGTGTACATGCACATTTCCAGATATCGTCAGCAGTAAAACAATCAGTGCACGGCAGAGGACAGGGAGAGCTCTGCAGTGTTGATTTATGACATTTGAATGTGCATTAGATGGCAACAAGATCATATTGTACAACAATTTCACCAGGTAACATGAATACAAAGCCGGCGAGAGGTGGTTAGAATAGGATGGGAGGCCAAGAGTCTGTGTAACTAATAGAGAGTCAGAGTCCCGAGTGTGGGAACAAACATAGTCTGTCCCACGGTTGGGTAAACAAGCAAATAGCATAAAGGAAAATAAATACAAATTACGACTTGGGTCTAGCCATTGTAAGTTCAGAGTCACTCGCCCCAGCAGTGTGAGTGTGCTGGTGGCAAGCGAAAGCTTGGGAGAGAGGGGGGAGTGTGGCGGGGGTACCTGTACCAGACAGGGGGAGACAGGCCAGGGCAGATGGTGAACAGATCGCCAGGTGGACAGGAGTAGGTGTTACACCCACTTGGGAGCAGCTTTTTTCGGGAGGCATATTCCTTGTAGAAAATCCCAGCTAGCTAGCTAACATAGCTAGCAAATCTCCGTCCACCATTTTTTTCCAAGTGGAAAAGGAGGTCGTTAGCTAGCTATATCTCTTCAGTTTCGGCGAATGGTCCTTTACAATGTTCAAATGAAGTTGTCCTGTGGCTGGTGTATTTTGGTGGATATCTTCTGATGTGATCAAAGCAATAATATTGTTTCTTATTGAATTAATTTACAATTTAAGTGTCCTGGCTGCATATCAGTTCAAAATAGAGATGAATCCAGGGGGTACTGTATTGTAATGACCTCTGCATAGATGGAGGGGGCTTCAAAGGCCTCTGCATTTGAGTGGGGTAGGCTGTGAAACTCTCCTGCCATTGTTGGGTTCAAGGGCTTTGACACCTCTCACTTCACACCTCAGTGCTAATTGATCTCATCTGTTCTGTCCTAGCAAGCTTGGTAGCCTTAACTTAGCATTCAGTCTTTACAAAGTAAAATATATCATTGTAATTTATTACAACTAAATAATTAGTCCCAAAGTATAGACACAATACCATTACCATACACGTGTTACACAATGCACATGAATACATTTATGATTTATGTCATGTAAAACCTTAGAGAAAAGCATAAAAACACAGCAGACATAGAGGACTATTTGTTTGTCTAAATGCCTTTACACTGTTACACCAAGGGACCTCTGTAGTGTAGATATGAAGGACATTTATTCCCTCATAATTTCAGCCTGGTGTGAGAAAACACAGCCCTGTGTGTGTGTGTGTGTGTGTTTCAGGCAAGCAAGCAGGCCTACAAACGTAAAGATAAATACAGATAAATACATCAGATATGACTTCAATAAGAGGATAGTGGGAGACCTGATTTTACTCAATCATAAAGATTCCCATGGAGGAATTAACTTTTGACACAAACCCAAATAACCCAGCTACTAAAGATGTCCCTCAAATGTATTGTTAATACCGTTGCGCTTCCTTTTTTAAATGATGGGTCATTTTTCCCATTTCCTCTGTAGAACATGAGTCTAAGTACATGTTTGAGAGTATACACCTTTGTCCATTAAAAATGAATGGTTGAGATGATTTTTCTTTAGCACTCCCCGCTGAAACACATAAATAGTAACTTTCATGAAAAAAATATGTGTTTAATCGAACACCAGATGTTTTAGGCTTAGTTATAGTGAAACACCTCAATTCTGATCTTCATTTTGACAGTAGTAAATCTGTTAGTTGTAAATCTAGCTCTTTTTGAAGCTAGTGGTTCAACTCTGCCATTGACATTGTGATGTAGAGGCACCTTGAGAGGTGCCTCTACGTCATCTCAAGTGAGGGGTTCGGTATGAAATACAATCCTTTCTAGATGTGCTGGGTGGTACCACTTCAAGGCTTACTATAAAAGCAGGTGACAGCGCGCCTTATTTGGCAGAAGAAAAAAACATGTAGGCTATGAGGATTATAGGTTTATATTCGTAGCTACAAGAAATAGATGACAATGGTGGTCATGTGAACTTGTTATAGTTTTTTTCACCTGCTGTGATTGATAAGACAGTTGCTAAAACAGTTGGCTTATAGTTCAATGGTGGTGAGTTGTAAACCCACATTGGTCAGATACTTTTTTTCTTCAAATCCTTTATTTACAACATTCATCCCGTGGCCACATACTTCTAATTCTGAAAAGTGAAAGCATACCTGTGAGAGGGGTCGTCCTGGTAGTAGTTGTAGGTTTTTATACAGTACCCAAGACCAATCTGTGAGTTCATTTGACCATTGGAAAAAAGAACTACTGCGTAAATACTGCAATGCAGGTTGGATTGAATTGAACCCCTAATCTTCATTTTCAAGGTGATGATTGCACTTCAAGGTGATGATCCACATTTCAACTATTTTATGGGCGCCCCATGCGGGATTCAAATTTACACCACAAGAGGCAATAGATGTCAGGAACTCGGTGCCTTACAACTTTGAGCTAACTGTCCAGAGCTGTATTTGCTAGTCATGCAGATAATTCTATTATCAGAGCGTACCAGTGGACTTCTGGGAAGCATGCTTTAGTAAGAAAGTGTTGGGATCAGGTACGACTACAGTGAACAAAAATATAATCGCAACCATGTACAGTGTTGGTTCCCATGTTTAATGAGCTGAAATTAAAGATCCCAGAAATATTATATACGCACAAAAAGCTTATTTCTCTCAAATGTTGTGCACAAATGTGTTTACATCCCTGTTAGTGAGCATTTCTCCTTTGCCAAGATAATCCATCCACTTGACAGGTGTGGTATATCAAGAAGCTGATTAAACAGCATGATCATTACACAGGTGCACCTTGTGCTGGGAATAATAAAAGGTCACTCTAAAATGTGCATTTTTGTCACACAACACAGAACAGATGTCTCAAGTTTTGAGGGAGCATGCAATTGGCATGCTGACTGCAGACCACGTGTATGGCGTCATGTGGGAGAGCGGTTTGCTGATGTCAATGTTGTGAACGGAGTGCCCCAGGGTGGCGGTGGGGTTATGGTATGGGCAGGCATAAGATACGGACAACGAACACAATTGCATTTTATCGATGGCTATTTGAATGCACAGAAATACTGTGATGAGATCCTGAGGCCCATTGTGAGGCCCATTTCTTTTAAGGTATCTGTGACCAACATATGCATATCTGTATTCCCAGTCAAGTGAAATCCATAGAGTAGGGCCTAATGAATTTATTTTAATTGACTGATTTCCTCATATGAACTGTAACTCAGTAATATCTTTGAAATTGTTGCATGTTGCGTTTATATTTTTGTTTATCCATTTCCAAAATGAATTTTTATGAGCAATGTTCCCCACCTACAGCATTTTATTTTTTTAAAGGGTTGGGGAAAGGCTGAAATTGGGGTTGAGGGTTACCCTTTAAACCAGGGGTGTCCAACTCATTCCATGGAGGGCCTAATGTCTGCTGTTTTTTGGTTTTTCCTTTCAATTAAGCCTTAGACAACCAGGTGTGGGGAGTTCCTTACTAATTAGTGACCTTAATTCATAAATCAAGTACACTGCTCAAAAGAATAAAGGGAACACTAAAATAACACATCCTAGATCTGAATGAATGAAATAATCTTATTAAATTCTTTTTTCTTTACATAGTTGAATGTGCTGACAACAAAATCACACAAAAGTTATCAATGGAAATCAAATGTATCAACCCATGGATGTCTGGATTTGGAGTCACCCTCAAAATTAATGTGGAAAACCACACTACAGGCTGATCCAACTTTGATGTAATGTCAAAATGAGGCTCAGTAGTGTGTGTGGCCTCCACGTGCCTGTATGACCTCCCTACAATGCCTGGGCATGCTCCTGATGAGGTGGCGGATGGTCTCCTGAGGGTTCTCCTCCCAGACCTGGTCTAAAGCATCCGCCAACTCCTGGACAGTCTGTGGTGCAACGTGGCGTTGGTGGATGGAGCGAGACATGATGTCCCAGATGTGCTCAATTGGATTCAGGTCTGGGGAACGGGCGGGCCAGTCCATAGCATCAATGCCTTCCTCTTGCAGGAACTGCTGACACACTCCAGCCACATGAGGTCTAGCATTGTCTTGCATTAGGAGGAACCCAGGGCCAACCGCACCAGCATATGGTCTCACAAGGGGTCTGAGGATCTCATCTCGGTACCTAATGGCAGTCAGGCTACCTCTGGCTAGCACATGGAGGGCTGTGCGGCCCCCCAAAGAAATGCCACCCCACACCATGACTGACCCACTGCCAAACCGGTCATGCTGGAGGATGTTGCAGGCAGCAGAACGTTCTCCACGGCGTCTCCAGACTCTGTCACGTCTGTCATATGTGCTCAGTGTGAACCTGCTTTCATCTGTGAAGAGCACAGGGCACCAGTGGCGAATTTGCCAATCTTAGTGTTCTCTGGCAAATGCCAAACGTCCTGCACAGTGTTGGGCTGCAAGCACAACCCCCACCTGTGGATGTCGGGCCCTCATACCACCCTCATGGAGTCTGTTTCTGACCGTTTGAGCAGACACATGCACATTTGTGGCCTGCTGGAGGTCATTTTGCAGTGCTCTGGCAGTGCTCCTCCTGCTCCTCCTTGCACAATTGCGGAGGTAGCGGTCCTGCTGCTGGGTTGTTGCCCTCCTACGGCCTCCTCCACGTCTCCTGATGTACTGGCCTGTCTCCTGGTAGCGTCTCCATGCTCTGGACACTACGCTGACAGACACAGCAAACCTTCTTGCCACAGCTCGCAT